GGGCTGGGCCTAGAGGGCAGGCGCCAACCTCTGCCTGCCTCTGATTACAGTATTAATGACTCTAATTCACTTAAGTCCATTAATGAGTCTTTATTGAGCAGAAGCAGGCGCCAGTAGTGAGTGGGTGTGAGTTGCCATGTGGGTGCTCCAGAGCCCTGCCCCCAGAGAAGTTGGCCATCTGAGTCACCCTGGACAGCATTCTGAAAGGGCAAGATATCTTCTCCTGTTCCCTGTCACCACCCCTGGGCTGCAGTGCCCCCACATGTCCCTCCAGGCTAGTGAAGACTTTATTTGAGAAGTAGATGGCAGACAAGGAGGTGGGCTGTCACTGTCGTTGTTTATGACCTAGCCTCAGCCTGGTCCCTCTTGGGGTCCAACCTAGGTCTTGGGGAAGTGGTAGGATGTGTGGCAGAATCGGCCCAGCTGATGCAAGTGCTCCTTCCCACCAGGTAGAAGGGTGCAGAAGCAACCATAGCAGCAGCTGGAGGAAAAAGGGAGGCATCCCAGCAACTAGAAGGAGCTCTCTGCCCAGCTTCCCCTCTTCAGCTCCCAGCGTGTATTGGTGTGGAGTAAGATGGGTCTATCGGTGGGGTCCCTGAAAGAAACCTAGAAACATTGGGTGACAGAGAGGGTCCTAAAGCACAGGAGGACCCTAGCTGGAAAGTGACGCCTTAGCTTAGCTTATAATAGGAATGAATTATACATAATGCATGAGACTTCATGACTATGTATGTCAGGAAGAAGCCTAAATGCTCCAAGGGGCGGGTTCAGCTGGGCTTGGGACAAGGCAGGGGTCTCTGGTCCCACCATCCCTGTGGCCCTAGGACTCTGGCTTATGTGGCTGACAACCATCAAAGCTGCTGGAGCCAGAGCCCCAGTTCCTGCCTTGGTTCTGCTCCTGTCTCCCACTGTGACACAGAGAAAATTACTGCCCTGCATTAGGCCTCAGCTGCCCCATCTGCAAAACTGGGATAAATTTCTGCTCAAATACCTCCGGGGATTGTGTTGAAGGTCAAAGCTAGACAATAGCCATCATTTGGATTAGATTCCCCTGGAAAGTTCAAGAAGAGTTTGAGTCAGGGGTTGTCCAGGACTCTCAGTCAAGGTCCCAAAGAAGCAATGCTACAAAATTAATTCCATCCAGAAAGATTGAGAGACTTGCCCAAGGCTACACTAGTGGATTCTAAGCCCTGAGGCTTCGTCCTTGCCCTGGTCATCTTCAGGACCACGGACAGGGCCGCTTCTCCCCAATCTAGGCACCCATGCTGTTCACTGTCATTTCACCAGGGCTTTCTGATCCATTTGTTTTTATGTCTGTATGTCGGGTAGCCCGCGAGCAGGGCTGGCGTCCGCCTGTGAGTATAAAACTGACAAGAGGCGCTGGCGGAGTGTGGAAACTGTCAGCAGAGCAGCCGCCTGTGAAATTAACATGATATCGAAAGCGTCAATGTTTATTTACTGGAAATATCTGGACAGGATGCAAAGCAGGCCTGCAGCTGCTGCCTCAGGGGTGAGGGTGAGGGTCACCCCTGCCCGTACCTCCTTGGCAGCTACTAGGCCCTGCTAGCAGAATCAGCCGACCCCCTTGTTAAGACTTCCACTCTCTTCTTGACTTGCTGAGGAAGAAGCTCTCATGGAAAAAGTGTGGCTTCATTTAAGTTTCTCTGAAAGTAATCTCCCTCATGTTCCAGTAGTTCCAAGGATGGTGTCCACGAACTGGTGAACAACAGTGAGTCTTTGTTCTCCCCTAGGCCCAGCTGACTGGACCAGATTGAGATCACCTGACTAAAATTCGGCCAATCAGAGTGTGTCTCATGGGAATTTAAAATCAGGGTACAACTATTAGGTTAGCAGCAGGGAACTGAGATTTCAGGTTGTGCTGGCTCCTAGCAGGGGCTGCTATCTTGAGGTGGTCAAGCTCAGCTAAGTGCGCGTTGGTAAGTAAAAGAAAAGCTTGGTTGTCAAAGATGAGGAGAATGGAGCAGAGATGCAGAGATAAGCAGAGATGAGAGAACATCTAGTTCTTGATAGAGACACAGATAGATGGTTTTCAGTTTTGGGCAGGAAAACCTGGCAGTTCATTATACACTATGTTTATTTCAATTCTTCTATAGCCTTACATTTAAAGAGCATTTTTCTGGAAAAGAAAAAAGGTCCACTGAAACTGGCCCTAAGATAAGAGACTGACCCACGACTCAGGTGACAAGGAATAGACCCTCAGATAAAATGTGGAATTTGCTGGGAAGGGGGCAGTCAGTGGCAGTCAGTATGTGGTAGCAAAGTGGCTTATTATGCTGTGCCCATAGTTGTTGGGATCAGACCTGGGACCCAAAAGCAGAACCAGGGACACCCCCCCATAGCTTGCCTCTGCTTCTGCCTACATCTTCTGTGAACTGGAAACTTGGCTCTTGGTAGTGCCCAGGTTCACCTTTCCTAGACTGAACTTCAGAGAAAAGCCAATACTGGTATTCTCTGGTTCCAAGTTCAAATATCCTAGGGAAGGTTTCTGATTAGCTACACTTGGGATAGGTGCCATTTTTTTCTTGTCTACTCTCACACCAACAAGGAGATATGGGTATGGATTGGTCCTACTGGGGTTGGCTACTCTGTCCTAGATGGAGCTATGCCCAGGGACGAAGGTTCCATAAGAAGACAGCAGTTTTTAGTGTCACCACATGGTTGGAGGACAGGCACTTCACACAAGGCAGACAGAACAACGGATGTCCACCCTGTTCTTTGTGCAGGAAGATCTGGGGGTGTCAGCCCTGCTCCCATCACTGACAGGATGGCCCCTAATGATGGCAACTGTGCAGTGTTGGCCTGAAAGCTTTTTTATACTCCTTACCTTGCTACAGGGAAGTGTTCGTTGCACTTGGGCTGATTTCCCCCTATGACTGCATGTCAGTGGGTAAATTATCATTTAGGCCAGTATTCCCAACTTGCTTGGTGATAAGAATCAGCAGAGCTTCTCTCCAGACATTTGGATTCAGTAGGGCTGGACCAGACCAGGGAATCAGGATTCTGACTTTATCTTATCTGGGGTATGTCTTGGGAATCACTGACTTAAACCACAGAGGGTGAAACTCTCATCTGGTCTGAAGTGAGACTGAACCAGTGGGTTGGGTGACACCAGCAGCGTGGACTCTGCCAGCAGGAAGCTTTTAAAGCGGTCGTCTGTACCTTGGCTGCACTTTAGAATCACCTGGGGAAGTCTTGAAAATTTTATTACCTGGGCATCACCCCAGGCCAATGAAATCAGAATCTCTGGAAGTGGGAGTTAGGTAGCAGTATTTTTTAAAGCTCCCCTGGTGATTCTGATGTGCAGCGAGCTGATCTAGGGAAAGCCACCATTTCACTCCACTCACACTCCTACTTAAAGACCCCGCTCCTCCCCAAACCTAGAAGAGGTAGCCTTCTCTGTCTCTGTCCTGTCTCAGCTGACTGGACAAAGGGTGGACACCTGACCTAATCCTGGCCCACCACGGTTTCTCTTGGGAATTTAGAATTGAACAAAGAGGCCATGGGGACCTGGGGCTGCCCTCCTAGGGTAGCTGTGCTCAGTCAGACACCCCTTGATTGTCTCTGCAGAGACAGGTAACTTGAGCTTCTGTGCAGCCAGAACCTAAGCCACCAAGAAAGAGGGGGAGCTGGTTGTGATGGGCTTCCCTGAGACTACCTGCTTATAGAAAATCCCTTGTTAGAGTACATCTTTAAGTGGGTTTCTGTTCCTTGTAGTCAAATCATTTTGGATACAGACAGCACTGAAATCTAACATGCACTCCAGACCGGAGCCCCACAGCCCTGGAGGGCCCAGCAAACGACTGCGGCTGGCACCTACTGGCTACATCCCACAAGCCAGGTACTTTCCATGGGCATTGTGGCCAAGCTTCCCAACAAACTGTAAGGTGGGAATGATTATCCCTGTTTTTAGGGAGAAGTGCAGTATTATGCCCCAGGGCGCCTGGCTGATTAGTGTGGAGCAGAGACATAAACCAGGGTGTGCCAAATCGCTTCCAGTGGATCTCACAGGAAGCCAATTATGCAAAGCAGGGCAGAGTGGAGGTCCTGCTGCAATAGGAGAGTGGGGGGCTGCTGCTTACCAACTCCCCCCCCCCCCAGAGTGGGGACAGGTTATGAAAGGTTGGGGGCTGTCCATTTGAAAACAACCCCACTTGGCCCAGGCCCTGAGAGAGACTGTAGGAGAACAGGAGAGCGGGGCCGCACACAGGGCATGCTCACAAGTGGGGCACTGCGATTACTCTCTCAATTACTATGGCTGTTATGCAGGAGGGCTTTGTGAACCACTCCTCAGCTACCTCCATCTGTGTGATTTCCCACAATGCGCGCTACTTACATCTCTGATTATAATTTTTATTTTATTTTAATTCCAGTATAGTTATCTGATTACAATTTTTAAAAATTTGTATTATATGAGGGATTGACTGGTTGGAATCCATCTCCCCCACCAGACTCTAAGCTCTCCAAGGGCAGAAGTTTCTCCAGTCTTGCTCCTTATAATATCCCAGTGTGAGCCCAGTGTCTGGTGAGCCAAGATGCTCAATTGAATACATGGGAAGGAAGGAGAGAGGGGCAAAGGGGATGCTCAAAAGCAAGAATGATTCCTCCATCTAATAGAAGGGGGAAGTGAAACTCAGGGAGGGGAAACCAACTGGCCAGGATCAGGCATGATAACAGATGAGCTGAGCCGAGACTTGACGCAGAGTAAGGAGGGAGGCCCAAGAAGACAATGCAGAAGTGAGATTTCAGGCATAAGTAATCCTGGGGAAATACATAACTACAAATTGAGTGTGCAAAGCCCCTTCCGGTGACTGAGCCCTCTCTCTCTGGTGGGGAACAGCCTCCCTTCCAACAGGAGCAGGTGGAATGAACAGCGGCGGCTCTCTCCAAGGCTGAGAACCGCAGGCCGACCCTGAGTGAGCAGTAGTCTCCCATGAGCTGAAGAACGCGAAAAGCCCACAGAATCTCCTTGGGACCTGTTCAAAATCATGTTTGCTTTTAATGTTGGGGGACAGGAGGGAGAGAGAGGATTAGGGATAGACTTGTCCGTTCAATAGGATAAAAGACAATTAAAATTGCTCGTCGCCATGGACTCTGAATTTCTGCCCCAATGGGACGCAGTCTTCCTCTGGGACCTGGTATCGGAACAAGTGTGGCTGCGTGTGAGGGGAAAACCCTCTCTCATTGCTCACCGTTGCGTCTCCTGGTCCAGCGTCCCATGATTGTTCGGCATGTTCTGAATGAGGCCGGGGTCTGGAAGCTGTGTGGGGAAGGTGACATTATTCATAATGGGGAGTCCATAAGAAGAAGAATAGTAGAAGCAAACATTTACTGGTCAGTTGCTCTGTACCAGACACAGGCATGATCTAATTGAATCCTCACAAGTCCCATGGGCAACTTGCCCAAAGTCGCACAGCTGGTACATGGTAGAGCCAGCATTTAGACCCAGGTTGTCTGGCTCGATTCCACACTTGGCCCCGTTGACCAGCCTCCACCTCTTGATGTCCCTTGTGTTTTGATATGATTCAAACGCTCAGGGTGTGCTCTTGCCTAGTCCCGGTGATGGCAGGCCCTAACCCAGGGGATTGATTTAGAATGGGGGGCACAGACAGTGGTGGCCAGGAAAGGGCTATTTAGGCAAGGGACCTATGCCATGAGCTGAAGGTTGCCAGAATGAAAGAAGTGAGCGCATGAGTGGGTATGGTGCGGGGAGAGGTGAGTAAGGGACATCCCAAGCAGAGGGAAGAACATGTGGGGAGATCCCGAGGGGAAAGAGCTTGGGTATTTGAGGAAAAGAAAGGATGCTGGTGCAAGCTGTTCAGATTCCTCTGGAGAGGGGAGAAGGGGATGGGTCATAGAGTCCCCCTGGAGCCTTTGAGCCAGGCCCTCTCACAGACCTCATGGGGTTGACCACACAAGGCATCTTTGGCCAGGGTGATCTCGAACCTGTGCTCTCACTTGAGGGGGCCTATCTAGGGGGACCAGCAGCTCTGGGATTCACTTTGGGCTCTACATCTGGGAGCTTCTGAAGCGCCCCTACCACCCATGCCCTCAGCCTAGCTCCACCTTCTAACCTTTCCGAGGGACCAAGGGGCCGAAGGAGGCAGGCACAGGGGTTGGGAGTGAGGGGTGGGGGTCCCCATGGCCACGCCCCCCCAGCGGGACAGCTGCGCTGGTCGCCTAGGAGACAACATCCAGCGAGCTCTCATTGGCCAGCCGCAGCTCTGAGGGTGGAGTGAGGCTCGGGGCAGCCGGAGGCGTGTGCTCTTGTGTGCGCAGGCTCACGTGTGTGGTGCAGGGTATGTGAGCACCGAGCACGGGCCGGCCTGGCCGCTCTGTGATCCCAGGAAGCAGGGAGGCGGCGGGCTGGGTGGCAGAGCGTGGACCTCTGCGAGGGGGCCCCTGGAGGCATGTGGGCCGTGCTGCTGCGTGCTGCGCAAAGCAGGCTGCGTTGTGGATCTGTGCTTTAATGTGAATGCATCCGGTGAATGTCCATTGTGATGTACCGGTGTGCGCAGGTATTATCTGTACCAGTGTGTATACTGAGAGTGTTTGCATGGGTGTGTGAAAGGTTTGTGTATGAACACATGAATTGCTATGTGTGTGGGAGAATGTGTGAGGCTGTATAAATCCGTTTGCACGTGTGCCTGCTACAGGTGTGTGCGTGCCTGAGTGTGTGTGAGCATAGAGGTGTGCAAACTCATGTGTGCATTCTCTGCCTCTGCTTCCTCTGCTCCCACACCTCAAATCTTTCCTCCTTAGACTCTGAGATGGGTCCCTCTCATGCTCAAGCGCCCACCATAGCTCCCCATGGCCAAGATGGTGCTCTACAGAACACCAGCCTCAGCTTCCGCAGTCCCCCGCACCCCCCACACATCTGCCTCCCTTTCACAGGAGCACTGAGAGCTCAGAAAAAGGATTCGGAGCGCTTGGATGGCTCAGTCAGTTAAGCGTCTGAGTCTTGATTTCAGCTAAGGTCATCATCTCACAGGTTCGTGAGTTGGAGCCGCACATTGGGCTCAGCACTGTTAGTGTGGGACCTACATGGGATTCTCTTTCTCCCTCTCTCTGCTCCTCCTCTGCTTGCATGCATGTGCTTTCTCTCAAAATAAATAAATAGACTTTGAAAAAAAAAAAAAAAAAGAGGGGAGGCTTCAAGGGCAGAAATGAAGCGTTCAAAGCATTTTCCTTCATCCTAAGCCGGGGGAATTGGAACTGAAGGCCTGTGGATCGTTGAAAAGCTCGTACCTGCCTTTGTTCTCCCCTGTCTGCGCTCTCTACATGAATGGTGACCTTCCCGTAGCCCCCCACTGCTTGTGGGACACTGTACTCCACCGCTACGGGGTGTTTACCAGATGTTACTCCCTTATCTACCTCCCCACCCCATCCTCCCATTCCTACACCTGTGTCTGGAAAGCCTTCTTTTGTGGGGAAGGGCTGGAGGCCGGCTGGGACCTGGGAAACCATCATAGTCCTCTCCAGCTCTTTGCCTTCTCACGAAACAATCCTCCCGTCGACCCACGCTTCCAGCAGTCCCTTCTGCCTATGGGCCACTGCAGGGGCCATCAACCTTGCCGTGTCCCTTTCCCCTCCAGCTGCCCCACAGGAGAAAGGAAAGAGCTGGCCTCCTGGCTCCCAGCCGGCCAGCTGCCAACCAGGGGTCAGGCAGTCCTGCTTGGTACATCTGGCTGCAGGCCGTCCACCAGTCTTACTTCCCCGCTGGTGGCTCCACCTGGACTCACCCTGGAGCAGAGGATTTTTTCCCACTCTCCATGGTCATCTTCCCTAGCCGAGCTCTTGCGGCCCATCTGCTCCAGCTTCAGCTGTAAGAGAGGGAAAGTAAGGCAGAGGGGGCAGGGGCTCACCCCAAGTGGCAGAAGACAGGCAGCTCCCTGAGGTTACAGGAAGACTCCAGAAAGGTGATATCCAGGGTGTGCTTGTATCCTGGCTCGGGACTGAAAAGCACCTGAGGAAGGCTACAGGGAATGGGTGAAAGACAACCTGCGGGGGCCAAGGCCAGGTGGAGGGGCTGGCAGGCCCCTTGGGCCTCTGTTCCAGGTGACGGCATGGTCGGTAGCCAGCATGGCGAGGGTGATTTATGGGCTCAAGCACAGGGCCAGGCAGTAAATGTCATTTTACTAGAGAGGCTATAACTCCTGTTTCACTTCAGCAGCAGTGTGGGGGCAAGGAAGTGGGATGAGGGACACCACTGAGGTCTGGGGTGAACCATGAAACCAGAAGGGAGTGGGGAGTCCCAGTTGGTACAACCTTCTCTCAGGCCCTTGGGAACGGTCAGCCTAGAAGTGCTCAGGGATTGGAGCAAGGTCACACAGTGAAGTATCTCACCTCACAACACTGAGCTCAGGACAGAGCCCAGGAGAGACAGACACCCCGTCCCAGCTCTGGGTGCTGCCAAGGGGCAGCCATACCCCCCTCCCACCCAGGTCTGCTGCTTGTGCCCTTGGAGTGTCCCGTAAGAGGCTCTGGGGCTGGCAGGAGACTGGAGATGAGGCTTCACGGTGCGTATGTCTCTCCTCTTTATGACGCCATATTTTTTAACGAGGTATGTAAATGCCTGCCAGTCAGAGAGCAAAGTCAGGGCCTCCAGCTGCTCACCTCTTCCGGGACTGGGTGCCACCCTGGGGCCAGCCTGACCTTGTGTTTCCCATGGGAGAGCTTTCTGGATGCCACAGCAATTGCCTCCCTGTCTCCACCCCCCTTTCAGCTGAGTCAGAGCTGGTGCTACTACTGACTCATTCATTTTGTGACCTTGGACCTGTCAATTCTCTCTGAATCTGTTTCCTCATCTGCAAAATGGGAGCACAACAAACATTTGTGTGTGTGTGTGTGCGCGCGTGTGTGTGTGTGTGCGCGCGCGCGTGCTTTCCACCATTGCTACTGCTTCGCTGTGCAATGTAGGGCAGTGGCTCAGCCTCTCTGAGACTCATGTTTCTCATCATTGAAACAGGGAGACAGGCATGCTAGTCACTGCCTTTGGGCTGAGCTCTGGATCCTGGGAACTGGGTATGGTGGCCATCCCACCCCCCTCTCTCCTGACTGGCTTTTTCTTTGCTCTGCCTTCAGCTTCCTCCTCCTCTGTTCCCCCCGGAACATCCTGCTGTTCCATCCCCAGGGTTAGCCTTCTCCAGGGCAGTGTGTCACAGCCCAGCCAAGAGTGAAGGGATGGGGGGATCTAGCTGGAGAGGCAGAGCAAGAGCCAGACCCTGGTCCCTGCTGAGGTCCCATCAAGGGCAGGGGTTGGCATGGGGGCTGGGGCATGACGGAATTGGGAGAATGGGTACTGGGGCTGATGCTTAGTCTCCACAGCCCCCAAAGGACCACCCTCGCCTTCCCAGACACCAGCAGTCCGCTGGCATGATGACAGGGCCAGGGCTGGGGACACAGGATGAGCCATAATAGGTTTATGGGGAGGTTGTAAATCCCTTTACAGTCTGAGCAATCAACTCCCTCAGGCAGAGCTGGAGCACCCAGGGGAAGGCCCTGATCCCAGGGCTGTGCTGCAAGGCTGCTACTCTCAGACCCTTGTCTAGTAGTATCTGGTCACCCGCTAGGTACCAGGGCCAGACTCTAGGTTTTCAGAACAGGTCGCCCAGCCTCGTGTTGTTGTGCTCTGATCTCAGGGCCCTGTAGAGATGCCAGGTGGACTTGGGGCTGGGAGGGGGAACTGACTGGTAGCAGCCTTGATCATTACCCACCCTTGCACTCACCCACCTGTGCCACAGCAGATTGTCCACTACGGACTCATCCCAGCCTACAAAGGAAGGAGGCCACAGGAAGAGATATGGCTGTGCCTAGCTCCACAGATGAGAAGCCCGAGTCTGGGGTGGTTTAATATGAGGCGACCGGTCTGGTGCTTTTTCTGCTGTGAAGTACTTGGCGCCCTGTGTATGAATCCTGGCTTCATCACCTACCTGGTGGTGGGCCCCTGGAAGTCCCTTCTTCTCCCCAAGCCTGTGTTCTCATCTGAAAGGGAGCATATTAGAACCTCCTCATGGTAGGACTAAATAAGACAATGTGGGCAAAGTGTCTGGCCTGGTGCCTGGCCAGATAAACAATAGCTATTATTATTACCATCAATATATCACCCCCGGAAGACCCTGCCTCTTGCTTCTGCTCAAAAGGACACTGGACCAGGGGTGGCAAACTTGCTTCAGGTCCCGACTCTTTACTTACCAGCTGGAGATCCATTTGTAGGCCAGTCACCATCGCTAATTCCTTACTCCTGGGTACACTGTAGAGGCCTGTGTGCCAATGAGTGGTTCCTAAGAGGACAAAGGCACCTCTGAGGTCCCTGTGGAGGTCCCCAGGGGTGGCTACAACAACCCTTGCATCCTGCATGCCCTTAGTGTTACGTGACTCTGCAGCTCTTCCCACCAAGAGCTGGGGTCTGTCCTTCCTCCCCTTGAATCTAGGCAGACCTGTGACTTGCCTTGATCCCTGGCGTAGGCCTCAAGAGACCTGGCAGTTTCCATTTTGCCATCTTGGGAGTGCTGAGCCACCATAAAAAAGTCCAGCTAGGCTGCTGGAGAGACCACGTGGAAATAAAGAAGCTGGCCTCTAACCCTTCCAACCTCCCCAGCTGAGACAGACATGGCCAGAAGCCACCTTGGATCTTTTGGCCCCAGGCAAGTCTCCCTAATCAACACCATGCAGAACTGACATGAGCTGTCCTTACCAAGCCCTGCCCAGGTTGCAAATTGGAGCAAATAAATGGTTGTTGTTTTGAACCACTAAGTTTTGGGGTGATTGACATGCAGGAATAAATAATTGATATGTCTCTTAGCTCTTTCTGCACCATCTTTACCCAAACTTGGCTTAGATCAGGTTGAGCTGATTGGACAAGGAGATGAGCACCTGATTTAGAGGCAGTCAACCTATTGGTTGGCAGGTGGCTAATCAGACTTTTTCTCTGGAGAATATGAATGAGGAGATCAGAGATCCTAGCAAGTCAGACTCTGAAGGAGGCTGGAGTTGGGGTTTGGAATGGGAGCGGAGGTGACTTTTAACCCTGTGTTATCAGAGGACATCAAATTGGGAGAGAAGCAGGAAAGCTGATAGACATGGAACCAAGTTCTGTGAGGTCCCCAGTAAATCACTTAACTCCAGATGGTT